TTAGAACCTTTAGTGCAGTAAACTTTTTAAGATCTTGTAACTGCGTGCGCGAAAATAGCGGCTTATGAACGGCTATAGATTAAAGTTAAGTATAAAAAAAATTAAAACTCATCAAAAAATTACAAAACTAAACCTAAGAATTTATAAATCATATTTTTGTTGGATTTTAGTATTTATTGCTTTACTGAACTTATTAAATCAAAAGATTCAACATAACTTAGTTATTAAAGTGTGTAGTAAAAATTGAGATATTTTAAAACCATGAATCGTAATGGACAATAACCCAATTTAAGTTTAAATTAAAAAGCTAAAGAAAATAAGCTTACGTTTGACAAAAACCTTATTAATGATATAAGATGAAAGAGAAATAAAGTACTGCATGACATTAGATTGAAATCTATGCAGTATATAATATGTGAATAAGGCGTATGGCACACCAATACCATTTTCTACACATCACTGGGTCAAACCTATTACTACATTACTAAGTCAACGATTTTAAAGAAAAGCACACTGTATAGGCAAAAGCAAATAAAGAATTTGCACCAACGGCTAGTTCCTGACTAAAAAAATTAAATTTCTTTAATAGTAGAACGAATCTAACAGTTCCACCCTTCACTTAGAAGTTTGAGCGTAACAGGGTTGTATATCAATAGTCAAAAAATAAACCACATCATAAGAATATTGTTCATATTTTTATGTTATTTTCGTCAAATTCTTACTAACGTACTACACCATTGGAATAAATGTGGCATAAAGAGATTATTAAGTCTTATTTGCTATAAGTTACTGTCCTCCTATTTCTTGAAGCATTTGTTTATAATTAAAACAAATGCATCAATTCTAGTACAATAACTCATACTTACGTACAAAAATACATTTTTTGCTGTTAAAATAAAGTGATTATTATGTAAAGAGAAACGAGAAAATAGTCAAATGTTTCTAATATAACAACTATGGATTATAGATAACGATGCATTTTTTACAGTTACTAACTTGCTATTTATCTGTAAAAAAAGACGCTAGAGTATCTGAACATAACATTTTTGTTACATATTTCATTTCTATAAATAAACATCTACTTGATTATAACAACCAATGAGATGACATAACTTAAAAATAGCAAAGGTGGTGATGAGGGTGTCTCTGTTTTTTGTTTTACAATTGGAATTGTACTTTATGTGAAATGAAATTAACGTTTTGAGTGAACCATTGTCATTAATACATGCTAATGAACCATCAAAACTGTAAAGGAGAAACAAGCACTATCATTGAAACTGCATTTGATTAAGATAACACATTTTTCCCTGACGACATTAATAAGATTTTCATTAGTATTTTTGAATTTTACCTGATTATGTATATAAATATAAGCTAAAGAATATTCAATATAATTAAAAGGAAGAAGCTCTATCTTGGAAATAGTACTTAAACTCAAATATTTATCTAATCTTTGATACTGATAGGTTATAGGTAATAATAAACAAAGTGAAAATTAAGCATGATGTAAATATCTTGTACCTGTAGTTTAGGTATCACTATAGTGTAATATATAAATTTACAGAATGGTAAAGGCTTGCAAATTCGTGGTATCATTTAAAATTAAGATTATTTTGAAGGTTGTACGATGACAGCTTAAAGAAAAATAATAATTTTGGTTTTGTGATGAAAAATGTTCATAATAATAATTTAAATAAATGTTTTAATTGCAATATGTTATTTAATTGTAAAGTCTGAGAAACAATAAAATTCTTGAAATAAAGCGTACAGCTACAAAAAGGGTTGTCAACAAAGGTAATAGTCATCTTCTTGAGGATGTTAGAAAAATTTTCATAGTGATATGTTTCTTTTAAAATTAAAGAGTTCTTCGTTATTGTGTACAAGAAAAATAGGGCTAGGCTTAAGAAAGTTTGGGAAAAAAGTGTGAAATAGAAAAACGTGCCAAAAAAATGTTTGTTATATTTAAACATATAAGAAGTGCACATAAATTTTTTTAGATTTTTCATCAATAAAAATTTTCGAGAAAAATATTATTACATATTCACAGTTTAACACGGTCTCTAATGAGAGAGCAAGGTTAGGTTTGCCTTTTGATTGAAATTAACGTATATGTTAAATATGTTGAAATAAAAAAAAGAGTTTTCATAGATCCCTTGGTACAAAGAAAGATGCTTGACAAAAAAAAACAAGCCTTGCCAGGCATTTTTTAATAATATAATTAATTACAGTCGTACAATTTCAAGTTTGTAGAGTGCAAGAGGGGGTACACGGTAAAGGGGGCTGAGCTGCGCGGGCAGGGGGGACTTCACGTTCCTTGCCTCTCTGAATGATACTCCTAAGCCTCCTTAACTATAATTAATTTCATGAGGCTATATTCAAATTTTTACTTTGATACAAAAAACTTTTATTTTTGTCAGATTCAGCATTCAATCCGTTTGTTGTACATGAACTACTATCACTCTTCTTAATGTTTTTACTGATATTTTCATATTAATCAGAAAATAGAGGTTTAAGTACCACTAAAAACTTCTGAGGTAAGGATTTTGGAGGCTTATGTGAGATCAAACGCCAATCTAAAGCTTTTTTGTTAGTTGCTTACAGAAGTCATTTTAGGACAACCGTCTTCTTTTATTATTTTCTTATTGTTTAAGTAAAGGCAAAATTTTTCGTTTAATTTTTAACAAGCCTCCTGTGTTTTCTTAAGAAGTTGATTTATGAGAAAAGCAACAGCTTAATTTGCTTTCATTAAACAGAAGCAAGAAAAACAGTTTTTCAAATATAATGCCAACTGTATAGAAAAACATATGAGGACGAGGACGAGAAAATGAGGTAGAAAATGACATCTGACTGTTTTACAAACTTTTTATCAAGATGCTTCATACTGCATAGGTCTGTTTTTGTCTAGTATGCCTAGCAAAGTTAAGGATAAATATTGTGCTCTCTTTGATCTCTCTACTATTTTTGGCATGCCATTGATTGTTAAATGCATATCGAGCACAAGAAATTCTGTTTTAGAACGCTGGCATATAAAATAATTAGCACAACTACACTAATAAAATAGACAATATGTCTTAAAAACATTAGGGGGCCATATATTTTTAAGAAAAAGTATTTATTGATGTATTAGCTTCCCCTTCAAAGTAATTCCCCTTAGATACGTCAAACTTGTGTTAACGCTTTTTCTAATCCGCAAAGCACTTTTTACAAGCAAATATATGGTATAGCCATGAGCACCTTCAGCGACACAGTTTTTATCTCCTAAATTGTTGCCAATCTTTGCCTTTTCATAGGTCTCTTTAATTTGGGAGACAAAAAATTTACATGAGGCCGAATCCGATAAATATGGAACCTGACGAGAAGCTAAGAAAAGACATGAATTTTTTTCCATGATTCCAGACATTCATCTCATGTGCCTCATCGCATACTTAGTAACCGTATAAATGTGAATAATCGAAGAAACCAGTGAGAATGACTCTGAGATTTAAGCAAACTTAGGGTGCTTTCTTTGATCTTAAATTTCTTGGGATCTTCCGTTGGGACGTTCGTGCTGCAGTTTCGATATGATAACCATACACCCAATTTGTCACCAGTCATGAGCAAATTAGGATCATCGTTGACATTTGTCAACTGCTCATAAGCTATGCTCGTGTGATAATTTTTTTGGCAAAAATTAAGCACGCATTAAACGAGCTTTGCGGACTCACATCTCATTCCCAAAACATTACCATTTTTTTTCGACATAATCCAACCAATTTGTCAACATCCTTAGTAACTTGTCTTATAATGATTTGACCGTTTTCTAAAACCATCTTTTACTTTGCTTAAACGTTTGTATTTGTTTACGTACGTAGTGGTCTAAAGGGAAGTTTACCACTGGCAACTTACCCACTATCCTAAAAAAATTTGTACTACTTGTGAACTTTATTTCCGTAAACTTGCTTATTGTATGCCACTGTCAACATTTTAAGTGGTTTGGAGCACTTAGTTTTATTTTGTACACAAAATTTGATGATAATCCTTTGATTCATTATTTTCAATCAAAAAAAGTCACCAGGCATATAAAACAATCCTAGCCGTTATGCCTCTCACAAACAAACTAATTGTAGTACATAGCTGTTATCAAACAAATATGTTCGTAACGAGTGTACCAAGAGAAAAAAAAATAAAGTTAATAATAAAATCTACGTTGCCTGCAAAACTTGAGAAGTCACTAAACTTTTTTAACATGTACCGTATCTTCTAAATAATATTAAATAATATTTAATTTTCATGATTTTTTATTCGCAAACTACTTAATTAATAGGAGTACTCTTATTGAATTTTTTAAAACGTATTTATTGCCGTACAGTCAATGGAACGATGGCATTTAGAAAGTGTTGTCAATCGGTCTCTTTTTTCTATTTGTTCTTAAATTAACAAAATTTTTACAGCTGTTAAGCCACTTAGGAGCAAGTTTGAATTATATTTCTTTGAATTTCTATGGACCATAAGACAATTGATTAAAAAAAATAAAATGAAAAAAGTTGTGTTCACACTTTTGTGTAAAAACTTAACACCAACTATTTAGGTATCTATGCCAATAATAAAGATGATTCATTGTATTAGTTATCTTACAAATTTGATACATTTGTTATAGTAAATAGCAAAAATAAAGCCGTTGCAAAATCACTTTAAAAGGTGCGTAGTTATGCAGATATGTAATTAATTAAATCATTCTATTTATTTTCTTCTAGGACAGTCTATTATTAATAAGTCAAATGAACCACTAACTTTAAAATAGTGGTATTTTAAGTAAGATTTAATCGTAAGTATAACTGAGCTCAGTAGCTAGGAATGTACCTGGCAAATAAAGATGAATTTTTCGTAATAGTACTATGTTGGTAAATACTTTTCCAAACATAATTTTCGTAAAATTAAGCAGGCTTTTTAAGTCTATTGCATAATATTGCTGTCTTTTTAAGATTTTGTTAAATTATACTCACTTACTTTTTTATTTTCAGGGAATAACCATTAAGCCACTGGTCAAATTATTAAATGTTAAGCGAGCTGAGAAGAGAAAGCCAACTATGAACGAAAGAATTCATGAAAGGGTGAGTAAGAGCAGTTAACTCTTGTGAAGTTCTTACGATTTGATAGACTAAATAATTTTTGTGCTTTTTATCTGTAATACAAAGAAACTAGTCCATAATTAGGTTTGCCTTTTGATTGAAATTAACGTCTTTGTTAAATATGTTGAAATAAAAAAAAGAGTTTTCATAGATCCCTTGGTACAAAGAAAGATGCTTGACAAAAAAAAACAAGCCTTGCCAGGCATTTTTCAAAAATATAAGCAGTTACAGTCATACAGTTTCAAGTTTGTAGAGTGCAAGAGGAGGTGCGCGGTAAAAGGGGCTCCCTGTTCCTCGCCTCTCTAAATGATATTCCCAAACCTCCTTAAGTATGCTGAATCTGTTGTCGTCATGTATATGAAATTTGTTAGCGAGATGAGGGAAAGATTTTTGGTAGTGACTATGTTAGATGTCGTTTGTTTATCACAGATGTCTATTCTTCTAGCATCCTCAGTAGGCTTATTTTTGGTGACTACGATGTACTATATGTACCGTTCTTGTATCGTAACAGGGCAACTTTTTTCCATAGCGTAGTGTTCACCTTTGCAGCTTGGACAGCAAATAGTGTCAGTGGAACACTTCTGGCGATTGTGCCTTGTATCTCCGCAACTTCTGAAAAGTGCTGGCGATTTGCACCTATCTGAATTATGGCCAGAAGAAAAACACAAAAAATAAATTCTAGGTGAAGCAATATAGGTCTGTACTTTTTGTCAGATTCCATAAACGTAAGCGTATCTGGGCAGATCTTGTCTTCTAAACGTCATTAAAATAGATGTAGTAGGTAACCTTTTTAGGAAGCGAGTTGTCATATTTGTGTTTGGGATTAAATCTGTAAAGTCTGGTAGCACTCAGCACTTCAAACTGATATTTTAAGTCTTCCAAAATATTCTTTTCTTCTACATCAACATCTACACCTCGAATTACTCCTTTTCGAACAAGTCTGTGATTAGGGATGAATAAGTCACATCCTTTGCTTAAAACTTCGGGCTCATTTAGTCGCTTGTTAGTCTCTTGAAAATTGCTTAAAATGACTTCAATCTTTCTGCTTGATTTTAGTATAATTTGGCAACCTTATACNTACATACTCTAAAATGTCTTTTTAGGTGCTCTGCTCTTACATAACCTTTTCCACAATTTTGACAAATATTTTTTTGAACGTTTTTTTCATGACTTTTCAAATGTCTCTGCAAGTGATAATTTCTTTTGAAACTTTTTTCGCATTTAATACACTTAAAATTTTTTTCAATGTTTTGGCATTCCTTTGTGTGACGCAAATAGTTTTTCTTGTCTAATGTTATAATGCTACACAGATCACATACAAAAAATTTTTTTTTTGTGAATTTTTTCGTGCAATGATAGACACTCTTGATTTAAAAATTATAAGTTACATTTGTAAAACTGATAAAATTTTTCATCCACGATGGTGTATCTCAAAACATAATTCAAAAAACGGATTGCTTATGATTACATAAATCTGGGTACGAGACGTTACTGAAATTTGCTTTTTTGATGAAAGACAAAATTTGCAAAAAAGTATAAATAGAGTAATGAACTATAGAATAGTTTTTTTGTTACTCTAAAATTTTATTCCAAACAACATTTTTAATTTCAAATTTGTTTTCTAAATCAGTTTAAATAAAAATTTTTTTGGGTTTCTACTTCTAGACAAGGCAACATATAATTAATTATATGATGCCCATGATAAACATATAATTGCCCAAGAGAAGATAATGCTCTTCTAAGGCATACTCCTAAGGCATCAAAACTTTGACCTTGAGATTTATTGATAGTCATAGAAAAAGCTAAGGTAAATGAGAATTGTTCTCTGTACAATATAAATGGTAGCAAAGAAGAATTTTTTGTTTGTAGTGTTATTTTTGGAATAAAGACTTTATTTTCTTATTTTTCACCTGTGATTATTTTTGCTTCAATGTTGTATTTTATAATTCGTTATCTTGAACCATTGCAAAGTCCTTCAGATGTATTAAATATAAACATGCTTTAAACATTCTGTAGGGAAATTATTATAAATATTATCATCTGATTTATCTACTCCTTTGTGAGTTGCTTTATCAATACTATAGTACGTTACTAATGTTCCTTCCATATTATATAAAATTTTTTTGTTTAAGAAATAAGTGTATTTATTGTGAGATGTTTACATAGCTTCACTCATAATAAGATCATCATCATTTTCAAAAATTTTAGAACATACATCATTTGTTTTCCATGTCTGAGAAATTATAAAAGTTTTAATTTTGCCTTCTCCTAAATCCAGTAGCAGAGAGAATTTGACGAAAGTCTCTACCTAAAATAATTATTTTATTTCCAAAAGGCTTATTACTACAAGATAAATCTTTTAAAGTCCTATCAACGATTTCTAACACTTTTTCAGTATCATAGAAGCTTCATCCCAAATAACTACTTCTACATTACGTAATTTTTGTTTATCTGGCTCAAACTGGAAGAATGCACTTTCTATAGTGCTTAAGTCTTAAGGAAGTCTGAAAGTTCTGTAAGTGGTCATTCCCTTTGGGAGCAGAATAGAAGCAATACCTGTCCAAGCCATTGTAAAAATTTTTTTATCAATTGATATGTGTAACGTACGGTAGCATAGGTGAGACTCTACGCTCCCTCTCCTCAAACCTCATAATGAGGGGTCCAAGGGAAGGGAAGAGTGAGCAAGGAGAGGGTCTATTCGGGGAGTACACGACGAGCCTTTGTAGGGATCACACGCGCTACCTTGCCGATGATTTCGGTATCTTGAATAAAGCTCTTGAAAGAATCTGTGTTGATCATTCTCACGAAGCACCTCCTTACCAATATCTTCCCTACGTAACAGTTTTGGTGCTAAGGGTAGGGTCGGTAAGAGTCAGAATTTATTTTTCTTTTATTTTACGCGTTTCAAAAATTCCGCCAAGAAGCACATATAGTGCAGTGCCGCGAGAACACAACGGTTTGAATTCAAGAGTCGAGGATCCAATCGGAGGCAAGAGTATCAGTTTACAGGCAGTGGTTACAGCAGCTCGGAAGCCAACAGGACGAGGGTGCCAATCGCCGATAATCACGGGATCAAGAAGACAAGAGGCAAGGGAAATGGTCCCAGAAATCTCATTCCTATTGGTGTGCATATCGACTAGCACGTAAGTTCATTTGTACTAAAATTAATTTTATCCTTTACTCCCGAGGCACTTATTGGGTTGGGGAATTTTTTTTTAACTTCGATATATATTTATTATTTCGCCAGTTACCCTTTTTTAGTGGTTTTTCTATTGAATCTCGAAACGAAAATAGCGCGTGATAACAGGTTTAAACAAGCAGCGGTCTGGGGGACTTAGGCATAACAAACGTGGAACAGAAATATTTTATAAGTAGGTTTTGTAACAGACATAGGAAACGTCTGGAAATAATAACTCGCACCCAAATCGGCTGAAGTACGATTTTTAACGAAAGCAAACGACAGACACCCAAAAAAAAAAAAAAAAAANCTTTAAACTTAATGTCAATTAAAAAAATTATGGTAAAATGCGCGTATGAATTTCAGGGATATCAAGCCAATTGAATCGAAAGATAAAAAGTATATAATGCGTAGATACCAGACGGGCTATTTTATTGTTAGAGCATTACTTTTCTCTTCATCCTTTCTATGTCACACATATTTCTATAATCACACCTCGAATCACACCCCCTACAAACGGCATTTACATTAAAGGTAAAGCAACCATCAGCTTGTATTTTCCCCATACGAGGTGTACTCCAATAAATATACCTCACCTTGTCCTCCATACCAGCCTTCACATATATATATATATATATATTTTCAAAAATACATATTTCAGCATACTACTGTTTTAGTTTAACCACAATAATTGAGGTGAATTTAAAGTGAAAAAAATAGTAATTATTTGTGCTTATGTTTTTAGAACCATCAAGTTTTTTTCAAATAAATAAGGGTCTAAAAACGTTAGTTTCATTGGAAATGTTTTAAATATTTTAATAATATCTACTATTAGAAGATTTCATCGTGTATTAATGACGTCACATATTTGATCCTAAGTACAAGGTAATACTAAATCTTTGTATAATAATCAAACATAGCAAAGTAAAAGAAAGTAAGTAAAATGACATTATTTAAAACGTTTATAACTTTTAATACGTCATTAATCTATACTTTTCAGGAACTTTCGTGTTATGTACATTTAATAAAAACAGGTTATAATAATTAGAATAATGTTGGTAATAGTGATCGTGTTAGTAGCAGTGGTAATAATGTTGGTGATAGCAATAAGAGTAATAATAACAATAACAATTATAATAATGGCGATGACCATAATCATTTTAAAAAGGATAATGATAATAAAGATAATAATAATAATAATAATGATAATCATGAAAATTTTGATAATAATGATAATAATCATGATTATGATGATCATAACAATGATGATAATAATAATAATAATGATGATAATAATAATAATGATAATGGTGATGATAATATGGATGATAATGATGATGATAATGATAATAATGATGATGATAATGATAATAATAATGATAATAATAATGATAATTATGATGATAACGATGATGATGATAATGATATTGTAGATCATAATAATAATGATAACAATAATTATTATGATGATCATATTAATAATGATGATAATCATTATGATGATAAACATGATAATAATAAAGATAATGATAATAATGATGATGATGATAATGATGATAATAATAATAATGATAATAGCGATGAACATAGTGACTATAACAATAATAATGATAATAATAATGATGATGATAACGATAATGATGATGGTAAAAATAATAATGATAATAATAATAATCATGAAAATGATATCACGTTCAATGAAAATATTGTTTTTTTTTATCTATCCCATATTTAACTTGTAGTTAGGGCTTAGAACACGACAAAAATTTTTTTTATTATCTATTTCGTTACCACAAGCGGTTAG